CAAATAACTGCAATAGAAGCCTCCAATCACATAACACATGTTTCTTTCCATAAAGCTTTGTGATTAAGTCAGTTAAACATCAGCCCTTAATCTGACACTTCCTAATAGTATGGGCTTTTCTCTTCTAGACGTTTGTAAACATCCTTCCAACCATGTTCCTTGTGCTGATAAACATACATGTTTGTGATGGACACATTCTTTCTTCACAGGAGATAGAAGACTTCGTCCAGAGCTCTGGAGAAAATGGTGTTGTGGTGTTTTCTCTGGGGTCAATGGTCAGCAGCATGAAGGAAGAAAGGGCCAATGTGATTGCTGCAGCCCTTGCCCAGCTCCCACAAAAGGTTAGATAATTTGCCTACTGACAATTACTGAATGAGTCTGTCTGAAATGTTTACTGCTTGATAGCTAACAGGGCTCCTGAGGGCACTGTGCACCCTGAGATCTCATCAGAAGGAGGGAAATTTAGTACGTATCTACGCTAGCACAGTGATGGGAAGCAGGCCTTGAGAGAAGTCTGAGGTGCATTGCAGTCTAGGCTCCCATGTGATTGACCTTTTGTGCCTCCTACACATGTGGAACGGGCCTATTTGGGGTGCTGGTCAGGGAGCTGCTCAGAGAAAGATGGCCTGGCTGACCGGTCACCCTCCAGGTACCCACCTAACCAGGGAGATTCAGAGAAAGAGAAAAACTTGCCTGCCTTCCTGGTCACATGTAATGAAAATCGTGAAGATGGTGTCCTGCCCTAAGGCACGACCTGGGCATCTAATGTCACCTCCAGGCTGACACCTGTCCTGACTCAGAGAGGAGAAGGAAATAAAGGAGGAGCTGATCAAAAGGGGCCAGGAATGGGAGGGGATCAGATGACCCATAGAATACAGTAGGAACTTAATTACCCACATACACAATACACTTGTGGTCTGTGTGTGCTCAGGAATCATTTCTTAGTTTTCTGTCTGACAAAGACTTCTCACGATTTGTGTTACTTTTATGATGAAAACTTGATATTAACACTCCAATACCAAGTGGAAGTTAAATTTTCCTCAAGTCTATGATGATTACTTGGGAACTCTTCAATAGCCTTATTTTGGTACTGGGCATGGAAGTGGCTGTGTTATAGGAGATGGTATTAATCACTGCTGCAGTCTGTCAGCTACATGGTAACAGTCAAGCAAAGTTGAGCAAATATAATTTTAGATATTTTGAACAGGTGTCTTGTTATTCATAAACTTCCCACTGGCTCTGATTTTTTACAGTAAAAGAATTTCTAAGACTAGCAGTAGTGATAACGCTCTGAATCCTGGTGAAATGATACCACATCAACTCTTACTCAGGAGAAGTGTTTAGTGAGTGTGTCTGACAGTGTTATGGAAATTCTGAAGCTACATGGACATGTTTCTCTCAAGTAGCTGATTTTATGGATGTGGGTATTTTGCAAATCAGTAAATGGCAACCTCTAATGAAGTTACTTACGTAACAGGCAGATACCAACAAACTAATACTCAATACACTCAAAAGCTTGAGGTGACGTAGGGTGGCCTGAAAATTAAGTTCACAAACCTGCCCCTGAGCACTTACATTGGCGACACTGTACACACAACTCAGTAAGGCTTCCTGACCTGGACAGCAGAGTGTCACAATTGTGTTTGTGACAACATGTGACGGTGTCTTGCTGAGTAGGGCTCATTATTGTTGTTGCCTGTTTTTGTGAGTGGTTGGAAGGTTGAATTAGAGCAACAAAGAGGCATTTGTAACTTTCTTGTAAAACTTGGCAAGACTGGAAGTAAAATCAGGGACATGTTAGTCCAAGTTTATAGGGATAATGCCAAGGAAGAGAATGGCAGTCTACAAATGGATTAAAGTGTTTCTGAGGGGAAAGAGCGTCACTGATGAGGAGAGGTCATGGTAAACAGTACTGACCAGAACTGATGAAAACATTGCAATAAATTGTCAAATTGTG